TGTATAAACAAATAGACAAAGGAAAAAGACACTGCATCCAAAGTGGAATTGATGTTGATTCCAAATACCGTCTCAGGTTCTTATAAATATTATGTTTTTGGTTTTGCATCTTTATGTTTGGAAATCGATATGGTATTTTTTGATATGTGCTGTTCTTGAGCCTTTGCACAACTAGGTGTATGAATTGACAGTTTACCTCTTCTTCCAAACACCCGCATCTAGTTACATATGTCTTGTGGCTTCATAATATGGCACTACCCAAATATAAAGCTTTTAATCTTTTTACGATTTTCGATATTGAGTAATAACAGAAAATAGACAACTTCATACAAGGAAGGATGTCTCATCTCTAGCTATTGTGAATTTATCTCTATATGATAGTGCATGCATTGTACAATTTTGAGAAAGATAATAAATAGAAGCGACAATTTAAACTATATAAAAGAGTATTCCTTACCTAAGGCTTAGGCCAGAAGCATCTCTAATATTTTACTTTTTATTATAATCAATGAGTCCATAATTTTAATTATTTTAAGTCTACTACATTTTTAACATATATTTATTTTCTGTTACAGGTAAGTGGAGTTTAGATATCGTCTCCATGGCAAAATCATTGAACCAGAGTTGGTACGTAATATATTGTATGCAGTGTTAATATCGAAAAAGTTGACAGTGATATGGGGGAATCCAATACGTAGCTAGGAAATAGTCATAGCGATTCACTCGCCCCTTGAACCCTCAATAAGTTTGAGAAATTATTTTTTAGCCGTTTGACCGACATTCTGCTTTTACGCCAATTAGCCAGGAATAGCTGTAATAACAAAAAATTTCGAAATCAAGATATTGTACATGATATATAACCCGTGGTCCCCAATCTAAATAGAAAAGTACTGATGGCATCTTGATGAAACTGCGATGGACGGTTAGTACCAGATCAGCTATGTAAATGAATTATAAATCCTTGTAAAGATTTCGTTTTTCCAAATTTTTTGAGTTTTTGATAATCTTTAGAAATTGTCAAAGCAATGTCTTAAATTTACATAACAATAACATTTTAAAAAAATATCAAACATTCATCTTTTTGGCTACACAATTTCTTAACCTTTAAACTCTTATATACAGTATATATATCTTATATACAGTACTGCTAGTACCTGTATACTTATTAAGAAACACAAAAGTATTGGCATTTAAAAAATCGTAAAACATTTCAAACACCGGGCGTGAACGAGATGAAAACAATTCAAAAACAGAAAATTACGGTATATAAAATGACGACTTCATTTCTCCCTACGATTGAGGTACAATCTCCGAATGAGGATAATAAAAAGGTAAGCCGTCTCGATGCGAAATAAATTGTTACCTATAAAACAGCTATTACCGAGTAAGAACAAACTTATACGTATGTAAATTGGAAGTGCAAGATTTATATACAGACATTAAGCGAATTACACAGCAATAAGAATGGAGCACACATACAATCAGTTCTCGTTCTTATCCTGAGCTGTGGCTGAATAATGATATTGATGATGGTGATGTGGCCTAACTGACCAAGTGTCCATACACGTACATTGGCTCACGGACAATTGACGATGGCATTCTGCTTTGGGGGCTTAAGTCACCTTTCACTTCAAACGTTATTCAATTAAAATAAATCATCCAGTATTCAAATAATGATGTCAAGTAGATTGTTCCGCTGGAATTCCTAAAGAATTTTCAAATCATATATTCATACGAAACTTTTGCTTCCTCAATCGGTCACGTTCATGTATCAACAGCATCGATTTTTGAAAGCGCTTCTAGACCGTTTCCCAAAAGCTACTAAACATTTCATTAAAATTCTAACAGTTCAAATAATAAATTACCAACAGAGTTCCGCAGAAGCACCAACATATTTATATTGAAGAAGATCTCTGTCTTAGAAATTTTTCTACTCCCTTGCCGAATACTTTACTGTTTGACTATCAAGTATCGTTATTATCAATACTATTTTAGCGGATATGAGACAGAATTTTTTATATGTGCTAAATGTACTAATCGATAGGCCAAATGCATTCAATTAATACAAGGATTTGTGAAGACTTTTATATACCACCCTATAGAACTCAATTTATGTGTAAGTCCCCAGATATTAATGGCTTAAAAATGTTTAACCTACTTCCTTTAGAAATAACGGATTGCCACAGTCTTAAAAAGTTTAAGAACCTCCTAAAAGACTATTTAATTGAAAATAGCTTTTATAGTGTGGAAGTATATTGTGATATTGTGATATATGCCGTTAAATCTTATTTTTTACTATTTGACTGTTCTTTGTTAGATATATTTTTTTTAGGATTTGAAGTTGTATAACAATTCCTATACAATGTTTTTTGTCGAGAGGAAATAAATAAGTTAATAACTAAATGTATATTTACTGTAATTGTTCTTAATATGTTTGTTATATGTCCAATATTTTTTCATTGCATATGTAAAAGTTCGTATTTGTAACTACTCTTTTTGTTTTGTTTTAGCTATTTGTCTACTTCTCAACACTGTCGTAATATTTATACAACTGATCATGTCCTGCAATTTATTTATTTATGTAATGTATAAGGTCATATGTCATAATTTTCTATGACCAATAAGACAATAAAGATCATCTATTTATCTATCATCATCGTAGCAAACTTAACAAAATATAACAATATTTTCTGATTTGAGACGTCAAAGATTTCTTCCACAGGCCACCGAACGAAATGAATGATGTTTTGTAGTTGTTTGACGAAGTGAGTCAGTATCCAAATCAGGCGCCGCGCGGTGTGTAGGATAACCTAGTACTTGAAAACCGAAAGTGGCATATTCCTACAGCAATAACGTAGTTACCGGTTTGATGTTAGTTTTCTGTGAGCGTCATCGAGATTCTATTGATAATCTGCGAGTGTATTCGAGTAGCCAGAACCTCGATATTCCCATCAGAGCTACTTAGGTTTGTTTATATCGTGAAAAAGCTGTCTGGGTGGGCACAACTGGTGTTTTTGTATCGAACAGCTACAACCTTTTGAAAACAAAGCATAACAAATAACATGTCGTAGCAAATAAATAGTGAGTATTTTGCTTTCAATTTCTTTTATAGGTTTTCGGTGCTGTTTTACCGCAAATTAACTTTGTTATTTCAAATATAGTTGTTTCTGAATAGGAAAGTCCCAACTTTCAGGACATCGTATATTGCAGACTCTTGTCATCATTTGTCACTTATTGATACGTAAGTCTACTTACCCCGGGCTTGCAGAGATACCTTAATTCTAAGTTACCCAAAATTTAAAGATGTACACATATCTTTGAGGAAACTTTTTGAACGTTGTATTATTTCGGGGTGCATATTTTCCATTTTGAGACAATAGTGAAAATGATGTCAAAGTAGAGTGAATCTTGTAACGATTTTCGAGATAGACCTCAGTAGGCATATTTGGCTGTAAAAGAGTAATGTGTATGGTCAGCTGCAATGGTAGCTGTGAAAAGGGGAAGATTTATAATGGCAAGAACATAAATATTCCGTGACCTTCGAATCGTCATGGAGAACTCAGCCAATAATTAAGTGATAATGGCGTATTGCTACCGCGCATAAATTGTTGCTCGGCAGTCAAATGGCGTAAAGTGTATAATCTCTCTTTGTGTGTTTAGTAGGTGAGTTATAATATGCATCTGCTGGGTGATTGTGGATGCCAACTGGTTGCGTGTTTACTTTAAAAGAACAGCAACTAATAAGATTCAGAGAAAGACACATTCAAGCGAGGGGTATATAATTGACCGGAAAGAGAAAGCAAATATAATGTTTTATTTTCCAATGTAAGCCTCTCTAAAGATGGCAAAAACTGGCATCATTAGGTTTACAGGAAACCTCGCCGTTAAAATATAGTCATAGTTATTACGTAAACAATCTCAGTAAGTCTTCCGGGAGGGGGGGCAATAGTACAGCGATATCTCCACTAATATTTGCCTGAATCACTGCAACCCGCATTTCGCTGGCTTGCTTTGTAGGTTACAGAGAAGTTGTCGGATATAACATGGACTCTTTTTTTTTAGGACAGGACTCAATGGGTGCAATATTAACTAGTATAAAGATCACATTTAGTTGCTTGTTTGCACAACAATAAGCTTACTGTACAGTTTCAGTGATATTTGATCAATGATTTTGATGTGCCAGAGTTTTGTGTTATGCCGGGAGTGGTTCTAGCAGACCCATAATCTCAACGTAGGTATTGAATGTTCCGTATGGGTATTACGTGAAAAATCGGTATGTCCTTCAAAATCGATATTATGCTAATTTGTGAACTCGCTATTCACTAGTCCACGCCACGCGCACTCAAAGAGCGAAATCGTGTAGCTCACGTGTCACGGCGTTTAGGCAGACGCACAGCTAGCACAAGTCAGCATGAAATGAATGACAGGTAGCATTTTTTCGGAAAGAGCTACATAGTGTCATTAAAGGTCGATTTATTTAAGTTACATACCACTTGTGCGGTTCTTATTTCTTTGAGTGCATGCACTAGGTACTCTGAGCTTATGTTCTAGTATGTGCATTGTATTTGACAGATGTATGTAATGACAGACGACAAGCTTTTGAGCGTTTGAAAAGTGAGCCCAAGAAACTAACAAACAAAAATATAGTCTTCGAGGACCCGTATTTGTTTCATTGGACCAACAGCAAATATGAGGCACCTACATCATATTAGAAGTTTTGCAAAAACACTCTGGCATAAGAAACGTGATTTGCCATAAGAAATACTACGTAATAAGACAATGAGGTGTAGGTCAATGAAGGATCTTTCACATATTTACAGCAGTAACGTCCTGGTGTTAAAGCTGTAGCTTGAAAAAATCCCAGTGACCTAAATGCCATCTCCACCCGGTACCGGTGGTGTGATGGTTAACGCTGTGCATCGACTGAATTAGTCGCAGTCAGATGTGCTGGTTTGAATCCCGTCCCAAGATAATTTTTCTCTTATCTATGGATGTTGTGAATGCCTAGCAGATCTCTAAGGTGAGTCCGCGTGACTCCCCCTTTTTCCCTCTATCCCCCCACGGTACCCACGCGTATTTAGGCCTCAGGCGTACGTGCTAACTCAAAAAAATGTTTTGTGTTGTATGTGTTGAATTCAAGACACTGCCCACACCCTGTATTACAAAGTCTCGTTTATATTTGATGCAGCTACGTACTGCTGTTACAACTAGGTATTTTCAAATGTAACACGTGATCTGCTCATCCGTATATTGCTCGACGGTGTGGAGAAATGTGCACGTTGTATTATACGAATACACACATGTGTGCACGCAAAATGCATTATTTATTGATTCTCGGTATCAGTTGCAATTTCTTCTTCCTCTTATGATTAATGTTTCGTGAGGATGCTATGAATATGCACATGTGAATATGAGCTAAAAATAGGATTTTCCCGCTCTTTAACCATTTATCACTTCATTTCTAAAAATAGAATGACTTACTTAATATTTAGATAAATAATACAGGGCGGCCAAAAAAAGTAGGAAATTAAGTTCTTCTTATTTTTTTTGAAACGGAAATGCTTTTTTTATAAATTTATCGTATTAGGCTTTAAAAATAATGATCATTCTATATGAGGTTGGCCTGCCTCTCAAGCTAGTAGTTTCTGAGGTGTTTCCAAATATTCATTTTTTCCACGCACCACACGACTTTTAACAATCATTTAATATCAATGGACCATGGCGTGCCAATAATAATACCCTTAGTAGTTCAGCCCCAGGCACCATGACCAAATGAGATGCCGAATATTGTATATGTCAAGTGGCCAGAAACAGAAAAAAATATCGTTAAGGCGAAGCTACTTAGATATGACTGATGCCGCTGATTGATCAAACAAGCAATTTGAGGCCAGAGAAAATTTTAATTTCGAGCATACCTTTCTCTTTTGTTGCTAAACTAAATCGTGTAAAATTCCGCTTAGGCCCCTAAAAGATAATAGCTATGATGCGACAGGTTTTGAGAATAACTTCTGTTTCCATAAAGTTTATATTTTTTGTAGATGCTTTTGCGCTTTATCAAAACTGAAAAAAAAAATTTCAAAACATGTATGTCGTTCCAAAATTTTTGGGGTCATATTACACGATTTAGTTTAGTAACAAGAGAGAAAAGTATGTTTGAAAATAATTTTTTCAATCTCTCATTGCTTATTTGACTGATAAGCGTCGTCGCCGAATCTATGCAGCTTCTTCTTAAACATACATATGTGGTGCATTATTGCCATAGAAAGTTGGATATTTTCAAATGCCTCGGGGGCTATCAGTCTAAGGACTAGAAAACCCTTTATAAAAGTATCCTTATTTGTAAAAATAACTTTCTTCCAACATTATTTTCATTTTCTTTTACGGATCGTCCTGTATTATTATTATTTGCCTAAATATTAAATAAAGCATACATTGGCAAGTTTTTTTCGATAAGGGCATACACAGATACCCGAATAATTAGTTATCACAGAACATAGGATAATATATACTCGTACATATGAAATACTTTTAGAATCGTAGGATCCAATTAATATGGAGTGTCTCTCATTTAAAATAATAACACTTTCGATGTAACCGAATGTGTCATTATTTTAGTAATCGATGGCTGCAGTCCTTTGCGGCACACCCTGTATACCTTACATGGCATTTTTTGACAAGGAAGTGTGAGATTCTCCAGCATGCGGAATACTTACTAAAAAACACCGATCACTCTCTACATATCATAAAGCTTGCAGCATTTCATCATGGTGGGTAGCGTTGCTCTAAATAATCATACCATAGCATTAGTTACATCGTACAACCTAGTATGACATTTGATTACTCAGTTCAGAACCTTGGTTCAACTTGACACAGACCTACAACGGTCATCTGCAACTAGTTGGTCGGCCGGCGTACGTTTCCCTTCCCATATCTCCGTGTAATCTATTGACAGAGGAGCAATTAAGAGCAATCAATTGTACTGCAATTACCGGACACCGACCGCCGAAGCGTCGCGTCAGGGAGAGGTCGGGCCAGATCTCCGGACAAAACTGGTGCAATGGAATTAGCAGTGCATCTACACGTGATTTTCATTTAGAGAAAGAAAACAACACGAGGGTTTATTATCCTGGGGCATAGCAAAAGGGAAATTGTTATGGGACTTGTTTTTTTTATACTCTACCACGAAGGCCTAAGGCCTAAACACCCATTGGGTACTGTGGGGCTATAGGGGGATACAGGGGAAAGGGGGAACGCCACGCGGACTCTGGCGAGGGAACACGTGTGCATGCAACATGCTCACATTCTGGCTCCGCCTACGAGATCCGCCGGGTGGTACCTCCACGTTCGACAGTCAGAGACCGTCTACCACCTACGGACAATCACGACATCCATAGCCTAGAGAAAATTTTTTCCTGGAACGGGACTCGAACCCGCACAGCGCACGGCGACTGATCAGGAGATCGAAGAGTCTACTACTGCGGCCACCGCTGCTGCCTAATTATTATTGTGGTGATAACCTCTATTCGGTTCTCAAAGTCAAGCATTCTTTTAACAAATTCATGAGGACGATCGAGCATTGTCGATGGTGGTGTGCGGTGCGTGTGGCATTACTGATTTTGTTGGTTGAAATGTGATTATGAGTGTGGAACTGTATAGTTCATTCTAAATCCTCATAAAAATGTAATAAAAGCCGCCAAGATTGTAAGTACAGTCAATAAGGTAAGTTACGAGTATAATGAATCAAATTAAAACCTATTATATGTATAACAAAATATTTCAGATATTCTTTATTTGCACTCATTTTTAGTCCCAATGCTTTCATCTACCAGCAACGACCGACCCGAGTTATTTCACATCTCTTGTGGAATATATGTTGGTCAATGCCCGAAGATATCCGATCAAAAAAAGCATTTAGAGGTACCAAAAAGGGACTGAATGTCATAGATTCATCTACGAGAGAGCAGTAGAACAAAACGCCCTAACTCTGTTCAAAGTAGATGTCTTATTTCATTTTTGTGTTCTACTCTACTGTGACATAGATGGCGCCACGATCTTTATGATTTCTTTTTTGGCACGAGAATATAGTAAATGATTGGCTAGAATACGTCAATAATTGCTGCAACTCAGAAACCATGTTGACGAAATAAGTGTTGCAGTGGTTTAGGCAATATGGCAGAAAATGGGTTGTTTGGCTATTCCTTTATAGGTGGCATTAGCGGCATTTGTCGAGCCAACCCAGAACTAGAAAATGTTTTCGTTGAAGTTGCATGCACATTTTTTTCATCGTCATCTCCCAATCTCTATAAAAAAATGGGGGTCAATAGGTTAGGGAACAAAACCCCCCTCTCCTTCAGGAATTTGCATCGAATTCCTTTTGTTTCCGCATTGGATCTGAATGCTTTTTTTGTCAGAGTTCGTGGTATAATTTGCATACGATAAATTAGGGAGGGAGACATTGGATACAATTGATCGAATCGCTGAAATTCCAAAGCGTTTCGTTGATTTTGATTCTCGCTGGTATGTTTTGAATGGAATTGATTTAAATATTGTGTAATAGCGGTTACGTAACTGATTTAATGTTATCTTAATGAGGATGAATAACTGAATATATCTATTCGAATTTCCATTCTGAAGGTTTTTCTTTGACAAAGGTGGAAGCTCTGGACTACCATATGGTTCGAAGTGAACACTTTAGGGAATATTGAATGTTAATTTTGCTCGTCATCCAGTAGAAAAGAATGTAATCTCCTTCATACTCGAGTTTTACTTATGCCTTTTGTGCAAACCATTGGTTATGAGATGCCGCATTATTTTCATTTGCCATTTCTATTCATGTCATTTTCCATAAATCTTTCTGCTCTCAAGGTATTCTTCATGTGTAAACATCTACACCATCACTATCATGAAGCATTTATTTTCATCTATGGAAGTCGTAAAATAACATTTCTTGATATATTTGATACACCTCTATCTCCTGTGGAGATCTGTGAAATTTGAAGCTGTTTTTGTCTGAACGGTGTCGGTTTCCATCGTCGTTTATCTCAGATTAAAGAAAGTAGATGTATAAAAATTGTTTATGAGGAACACCTATCACTTTTGCTTGCACAGAGTCAGCTTGTTACTTGTAGATGAGATGTATGACAAGCAGCTTTTCTGTCGGCAATATAACAAAGAAAGCCAATGCCTTATCTATCAATTCATTGAAGCTTTGAAACCAATTAGTTCAAAAGCAGAAATTTGGGATAAGTACAATGACAAAAGGCCAGGTGACAGCAGAATTATATAATTATATGTATTAAGTTTTCTATGGGTCAGTAAGTATATACACATAGACATTTTTCCACTACCCACTATGATATCACATTTCTTTTGATCAGACATTGAAATATGGCATATTTCAGGATTTCCTTAACGTCCGACATCACTGTCAGAATAAAACCGTACCCAATGTCTGCTTCACCGAACGGTGCACAGAAAATAGACGCTGATTCTAGATGCTATGTACATCAACACTCATGTTCAAATACTCCAAAACATTAAGTAGCTTAGACTTTCAAAATAATCACGTTATGTATTTATCTGTAGTCAACAATTATTTAGTAATATTTAAAATGGATAAAAGGTTTGATAGCAGTGACAGTTTTGTGCCCAAAAATCCAAATGAGCTCTATTTTATACGTTCATTGTTTACCTATCGTTTTTTCATTATCATTATTTATCTACATGGAGAAATGTAACTCCTCCTTATAGGAATGCGATATATGATTTCTCAGGTTTGTAGCAAAAAGCAAAGTTAAATATATCACGGGCAAACTGAAAACCAGTGTGCAAAAACGGCTTAATTAAGGCACAATTCGATTTAATTCCCCAAACAGCGGTTTATAAATAGGTCCGTAATACGAATTGTGCTTTATCTGTCGTAAAATAGATGATTATCTGGCTTTAATGTACATTCTGACAAATATATTTCACACAAACCCTGAAGCACGCAATATACTGTTCAGCGTAATAAAAGTTCTA